AGTGTTGTTTCCATTTAGCTTTTTTATTACCATTTGTCTCTCTTTTCCATTATCTCCAAGTAACTCACAGATGCATCGGCAGCGGAGCGTTCGGTAGTGTATATCTCGCCTATGATGTTGACACCGGTAGAGATCTTGCAGTGAAGAAAATCCCGATTATTCCAGACAACAGAGAACTTAGGCGAGAAGCTCAAGGTCTTGAGTTTGACGTACAAGAGTTAGGTAAGTCATATATAATGAAAACAAAGCAAATGGTCAGAAACGATAATATTTAGGACGACTACAACATCCGAGAATTGTGCAATATCTAGGAGTACAGAAAACTAGCGATAGAATTTTGATATTTATGGAGTACATGACGGGTGGTTCTCTTAAAGATCATATCGCGTTGGTAGGGAGCCTGTCAGATCCCGTGGCTAGAAAGCATACAGCACAGGTGGGGAGAAAGTTAGCGCTTCCAAAACTTTGTTTATTTTTCTTTTATTTTTTTGTCTTTGGTTCGAAATATCCATTTCTTAAGGTTTTTTTTTTGTATTTTGAGAATTTACAGTCTCGCTTGACTTCAAAGTATTAGAGAGCAAATTTAGGTGTTGGAAGGTCTTGCCTTTTTACACAAAAATCATATTATTCATCGAGACATCAAATCAGCTAATATTCTGCGAGATTCACTGGGAAATGTGAAGATAGCCGATTTCGGTTCGGGCAAAAAGATGCAAAGTTTGGCTAGTCAGCAGGGGGCCTTTCACAGCACAATCCATTATACTGCTCCGGAGGTAAGAAAAGGCAATTTAGTTCTGTACTGGCACTAACTCGCGCAATCCCATCGACAAACCTTACATTTTAAAGGTTTTGCTTGGAAAAACCGCTTATGGGCGAAAAGCCGATGTATGGAGTGTTGGAGTAACATTGGTTGAAATGTTAACTGGAAAAGTCCCTTGGAAAGAGTATGAGCCAATGGCTGCTATGTTTCAAATTGCTTATGAAGAACCGAAAATTGATGTGAGTCTATACTTCACTGTCGAGAAATCAATTAAAAACTGCCGTTTAGCTACCGCCAACGGTAGAGCCAGTAACAGCTGATTTATGCCGAGTGCTGATGAATAAGAACTTTGAGGAAAGGCCAATGGCTGCTGAAGTTCTGCTGAATCATCCCGCTTTTAAAGCAATGCAAAAGAATCACATTTACGAACATTCGTAATTTTTTCCCCTTCTCATACCAATTAATAGATATGTTTAAGCATTAGATCGAATAGCTATAGCGGGTAGTAAGTCGTGCAAGATTTGTGCGCACACAAAATAGTTTATATGTCGATCTTAACTATTTTGTATCTCTTTACGTTTTGGTTGAAATGTCTCTAACATTGCTTAATATACTACTCACATTTATACTCCGTGTAAAGGTAGGAATATAAACGGTGATTGTAGTTTTCATTTTTCTAGTTATACATGATTAATTCTTCTATCTGTTCAACTCGTTTCTTTAGAGTCACAGCACGATTTATTGTGAAGTTTCTTAGTGGCCTCGAAGTTTTTTTTT